CAGTCTCCATACTTTATACAGTACTAGAAGAAGCACACCACTTAAGAATCTGAACCCAACCCAAGCCGCACAAACAATTATTTCTGGAAAGACACCAACACCAAAGACAGCAGAGCTGGAAAGACTGAAGTTGACATAACAGCAGCAAAAACTTCACACTTTTGTACACTGAAGAAAAACGAAGTCCAACATTTACGTATAGGAAGTATTGTACTGCGCAAGTACAGGGCAGGTAAAAATCTGCAGATAGTTCTAGAGACAAACCAGATTTAGTGGTTCTAAAGCTGAATAAGTAAAAAAATCATGGCGTTGCACAACAGGGTAGTCTACAAGACCCACAAAGTAATCCTAGATTCTATATAACATTTGTGGGATCCTCAGCAGGAATACTGAGACCGATTTTGGTGCTGTACCTCAAAGAAAGATGAGGACTGAGTTTGGAAGAGAGCCCTACAAGTTACCAGTTGTAAAAGACGTCCACATGTACAACTGAGGAATGGGCAGCTGTTCTGTCTAACAGAAAAAGACAGTAAGTCTTAAGTGTTGCAAAGACGAAGGGAATAACCTCTCCAGACTGACTGTAAGATTTACCTGCGTAAAGAAACACTTTCCACTTTAGTGAAAAAGTAAATCTTGTTTAGTCATACTACACAGCACACATTTGTTTTATCTGTTAGAAGTTACACGCTGCAGGAGTCCGTGTTCTCTACAGGTAAACCCAGACATTTTCCTCACAGCACAGAACTAACAACATTTAAGCCAGTTTCTCTAACGCTAGGTTAGAAATCCCATACTCCACTTTCAAACCACAGTAGAGACATGGAGTCACTCCAATTTTTTACTGAAGAAGAGAGCAACTTTTCAAAAGCATCGATACCTTGGTGCTCATGCAGAGAAATGTGGAAACTTAGTCTGATCTTCATTTCTTCAGCAATATCCATTGCCATTAGATCCATCTAAGAAAAGGTGATCAGCCATCCTAGATGTGCCTGTCTCTTAGGGTAGGAGTACAGAGAAGCTTTCTAATGATACACACCCTTAAAACAAGATATTTTACAGATAAATATCTGTTCAGTGCATTTAATGAAACATTTAAGTAGTAGAAAGGACTCCAGGTTACATATGAATTGTTTTCTCATTTGCCTTACTGATGGTCTTAACACTGTTTTAGACTTTTCCCTCCTCCAGTACAGGTAGAATAAGCAGTTTAGAAGCTGTACTTGAAACATTTCATCTAGTAAGCATTCAGGAACCTCAGTACAAGAAAAGGCTAATGCAATGATTTAAAAAAGCAGCAAATCCTAACAGTTTTTATGCTTGAACATTAGATGTTTTAAATTTCTCAGCTACCAGCTACTCATTGGTGTTGCTAAGCAGAAAGTTCTTTTAAGTCTGCTCATACTCAAATTTAATATAAAATTCATTTTAAATCAGTGTTTTCTCTGTTCGGAGCACAATGAAACAGTCACAAAGTTTCAGTCCATCTTTCATACTCTAAAGATAAACAACCTTGTGACATGCTACAGTAAGTCTCACAAACATACTTTTGTTAGCAAACAGCTTAAGCAGCCTACCAGAACTATCTACCCACTCAGTAAGCAACAAAGAGCTTCAAAAACAGACCAAAAAAAAGTACTTTATATAGCAGTAGACTCAAGTTAATCGAAGTGACTGCTTCGTAAAGAAAATAATTTCCTTTCGATTTTATTCAAATTATTGTGTGTCAGTTCAAGAACCTAGTTCTCAAACAAAAACGATCTTAATCTGGCAACAATAGCTTGCCAAGGAAGTTCTGCTTGAGTTTTGGTAACCTGACCAGGAAAAGTTCCTTCAGAAAATTTCAGAGTAAGTACACAAAAATCTAAACTTTTCAGTGAAATAGGATATTTTGCCTCATAAATCCCATCTTCTCCTACTCTCAATCAAGTGTTTAGATATAAAACTAACTTCCACAAGAGCTGAAGAAAATTAAAGGATAGGTGAAAAGTCACTTAAAACTAAGGATCACTGAAGTATTGTTCACACAAATTCAAATGAAAAAATGGGATTAACTTCCAGACTCCAAGAAAATCTATTTTTCAGATCCTATCAATGTTATTAAGAAGCAGTACATTTTTCCTACAAAGTTCCATATAAATTATAGGATATAGCACTAACCACTCAATTTGGAAAATATAGAAACAAGACATTTGGAGACGCATTCTTTAAGAAACATTAACAATAACCAGACTGAAAACTGGATTTGGACATTTCTGTTTTATGTTTAATTACATCAAACACCTATTTATGTGCATACAGCACTTTTCCAATGCTTCTGGTGATAAGATTCCTATGTATTTTAGTAGGAACAGATGCACTCCATACCTACACATTCATCACACGAAGCTTCTACTGTATTATGAAGACAATAAAATATTGCACTGGAAAAAAATGCTAGTAAATCATGATTTTCTGAGATTTACTTACATACTTTTAACTGAGTCCAAGCTATTGTTACAAGACTGCATTACCTTTTGCTGTTTTCTGTGCCTTGTCTTGATCATGGTATTTAGTTGCATACTACAAAAAGAATGCTTTTAAGTAATGTATTGCTTTAATATATTAAATGGTTTGATGGTTTATTTAGGAGAGAGATGGCATAATATTTCCTTCTCCATTTAAGAATGAAAACAACTGCTATTTGTAATGAGTACTGTAAACACTACAGAGTAAAAAGGAGTATGCAAGAAACTGAAAAATGTCTAACAGCCATGAAACTGCAAACTACACATACCAAAAAAGCCATCAAGTTTGGAACAGTCAAGTCCAGTGTTATTACATTACAACAGCAAGATGCAAACTGAACTATTTCTTGTCAGTTCAGCATATATAGAAATAATTATTTCCACTTCCTACTTGTAGACATACTTTTCTTCAGTTTATATAACATTCCAGAACATGACTCACTCTCTTTTAGCAATGAGCAGAAAGACAACTTTAATAAAATAATGAAAAAAAGCACTTATTACCCCTACCCCTGATACTAACTCTAAGTAAATACTAAAACAATTGGGTAGTGGAATTATCCAAGAAAACTCTCATTCCACTCCTTTAAATGTGAAGACAGAGATCTGGTACAATTTTTTTTATTATTATTATTTTTAAAGAACCACCAAATTCTTGCAAAGCATGGAAGTTTAAACTGTCCAAACTGAAACCAGTATTAAAAGAAGCTTTTTTTTTTAAGTGGAAAAACTGCATAATTCATCAGGCTTCTTCACAAAGGGAGGTCACTTTCGGAATGCTAGAACTCATGCTCCTCAACACTCACTAACAATCTGAAAAGGAAGTTAAATAAGATGGCTTACGTTTACCAGTAATACCAGACAGAAAAAGAAAAGCAAACAGATACGTCATGATAGAGGCTGGGCAGTAATGCAGGAGAAGAAAATTCAGTGTTGATAAATACAAGATTTTTTCTAAATGACACAGAAAAACAATTCCAAATTTACATATACAATGCCAGAATCTAAACCATTACCACTCAATACTTCCATATTATAAATAGGTGGTTCTATAAAATTGTCAGCTCAGAACTCAGCAAGAGTTAAGTACAGCCTCAGAATAGGGAAAAGAACAGCATGGAAAAGAATTCCCTTTAAAGTTGTGCAGAGCAGAGTTTAAGACAGGATTTTGGTTTTTTCCTCATTCATTCCTGCATGGTAGCCTACAATGACCCAGCCTGCACTTCTGCTTGTCCGGACTTCAGGTTAAGTTCTGCATTTCACCTGCTAAATGATTCACCAAACCTAGTCTGAATTTTAGCCCAAGTTTCATGTCCCCACAATCCCATACCTGAAGACCCCCATGCCTGCAAAAGAGTTCTTGCAACGCCAGCTCTATGGATGTGTAATCCAGCAACTTGTTCAGTGTATCCTCTGGAGACATTTCTCTGGTACTGCAATAGTAACAAACTGCAGTATTTTTGTCTCAAGAATACTCAATGGTTAACTTTGTATTTTTCCACTCCACTACAGAAAGGAATCCTGGGTTTGCAACATAATTTTGTATGCTTTAATGTTACCTCTGTATCAAAGAGAAGGCAAAATGCCAAGTTATAAATGGACTAATACTCTAATTGAGATGATTTTTTTTGAGAACCATTATCAAAAGACAACTTTTTAAATTTAAGAGCATGTATTGCTAATTGTGAGGATTGCCCAATAAAGGGTGAAACTTCCTAATTACATGTAGAACTTATATAAGCAATACTTCAAGAAACTCAAGGTAAAAATAAACACCTACTTAGATATCTATTTTAATTTTTATTCCTGTAACACATGTATAACCCAGATGCAGAAGTTGCATTGTGCTAGGTATTGTAGTTAACATCTTGGGGCAGTGCCTATCGTTTACCTGAAAACATAATGGATGTTCATGTGCTACATACTTTAAAAATACCTGACCTTCAAGCCCTTTAGGTAAAATGAAAATAACTGAGTTCATTGGAAGACATAAGGAATAGATCAGGAAAGCTGAACCAAAATGTTGATGAAGAGTAGGGCCTTAAAAGACAAGGAGACAAAAGCCAGTAATCAGGTACAGTAAAACCAGCCAAATGATGAAAGAGAGGACCCTAAAACCAGAATGATAACTTAGGAGATTTGACTCTAAGACTAAGAAGTTTAACATTTAGGATAGATAAGAAACAATTTAATAATCAGTGAGAGAGGATGGACAAAACCATTAAAAAGGCATTCCAACATAATGCAAACTTTTTCAAGCTAGAGAGCTCAAGAAAGGTTCACAGTTAGCTCACAGTTCTCAGCTCTTACCTATGAAGAACAAGCAAATCAATTCCTTTGAAACATAATTAACACACAGCTTCAATCTTGCATCTTTTACCTGTCAAATACCTTGAGTACTTTAATGACTGTACAGGGAAGCTTACAAGTCTCCGCAGGCATCACCAGATCTAATGAGGGTGTGAGAAAGGAAATCAGAAAAAAAACCCAACATACCTTGTGTTGTTCTATTGCATCTACCCACTGTTGTCTGTGGTCTGGGTCCTGAGCTCGGAGGTACCAAACACTATCGTTTACGCTAATATCAAATCTGCATTCGTCAAAGTCATGGGGCTGTGACAAAAAAAGTGTAAGAGTAGCTAAAATTAGCAACATGATCAACAATACCTCACAGAATATTTTAACACTTTAAAACACTGTAATTAGAAAACCTGGCCTATGTTGTCTTGAATGCCTCCTAGATTCTAAATTCTGTTTTATGTAGCTGTCTCATATAATGAACGTACACTCTCATAATGAAAAATGCCAGTCTTCTGAAATCGAAAAGCCTGTTTAATACATTCTTATTAAATAAAATTGTCACAAAAAAGTTCCACACAAACATTGACCAAAACTTCATAATTCAGAACAAATCCTTTAGCAAAATAACTATTGGACACAGCCAGGAAATACACTTTTTTTTAAATTTCAAACAGAAAAAAAATTAAGGTTACTGCTATCAGTATTGATTTTAGATGGAAGAGATACATACATCATAGCAAAAAGCACCAGGATAGAACCATAAAAGCAGACCATAGCCAAACGACAAGGAAGAGCAGGAACTAAAGGAAGCTGTGGCACCTTCTGCCTCAACTGTTTTCACCAGGTAAGATAGAATTGTCAGATAATTGGGAGCAACATGCAATCTTCCCCAATATCACCACTCAAACGCATCTAACTTTCAGCTGACACGCCTTAAATACCAAAAAGCTTTTACTAGCATTACAATGAAGCTGGTAAGGAAAGTACAGGGAACCAAAACAAAAATCTAATCTGCCCTTTGTCCCAACACTGTCAGTTCAAAGCTACTTCTTAGCAAACACGCAATGGAGCACAACATTCGCCCCCCAGCCCCACCTGAAAACTATTCTTAGAGAAACATAACAGAGGTATACCTTTTTTAATATCTTTTTGAATTTGAATACAAAGAAAAGTTACACATGCAAATAACTGTAGGAAGCTAACAGGCTCTAAGGTTAAGGCCAATGATGCAATCTGAAGGACCACAAATATTGATTCCAGATGCTAAAGGCAAGTCTACACATGTTAGTAATATCTTTAATGTAAGAACCGCTCTGCAAATATGTTCATCTTGCAGACCACTGAAGTGCTGTGGATCACTTGTGAAACACTCCACAAGAGGAAACCTAGAAGCAAGTCTCATTTGGTGTCATGCACAACAGTACAGTGTCAGTGAGAATTATTTTCAAAAGAACTGGAAATCAGAAGCTATTTACACATAATACAGACTCTTTCTTGCTTAAATATACTAAGGAGGAAGAAAAGCACAACAGAAGCCAAACTACCTGATAAAAAAATGAGCTAGGAAGTACAAAAGTACAGGAAGCTTCAATTCTATTTTTTTAAAGCTTTACTTATTTGGTCAAGCATCTGAACCTAAGTTCAATCTAAAGAAATTTAAACTTCCCACAGAAAAAAACCCCAGCAACTGACAAAACTGACAAGTCAAACAACTGCAGCTACTAATTACTTAATACCTGACCATCTTAATTTAATTCATTTCAAACAACTTCTAAAACTGGTCATGCCTTCACTGAATCACAGAACACAGGGATGCAAGAAGGGACATGTGGTGGGTTGATCCTGGCTGGACACCAGGTGCCCAGCAAAGCCACTCTACCACTTCCCCTCTTCAGCTGGACAGGGGAGAGAAAATATAACAAAGGGCTCATGAGTCAAGATAAGGACAGGAGAGATCACTCACCAATTACCATGACGGGCAAAACAGACTCAACATGGGGAAATTAATTTATTGCCAATCTGAATCAGAGTTGGATAATGAGAAATAAGAACAAAACTAAAGGCACCTTCCCCCCATGCCTCCCTTCTTTCCAGGCTCAACTTGACTCCTGATCTTCTCTACCTCCTACCTGCTAGCAGTGCAGGGGGACAGGGAATGGGGGTTGTGGTCAGTTCATCACATATTGTCTCTGCTGCTCCTTCCTCCTCACGCTCTTCCCCTGCTCCACCATGGGGTACTTCCCACAGGACACAGTCCTCCACAGACCTCTCCAACATGGGTCCTTCCTGCAGGCTGCAGTCCTTCATGAACTGCTCCAGTATGGGTCCCTTCCACGGTGTGCAGTCCTTCAGGCACAGACTGCTCCAGTGTGGGTCCCCCATGGGGTCACAAGTCCTGCCAGAAAACCTGCTCCAGCGTGGGCTGCACTTTCCACAGGGCCACAGGTCCTGCCAGGATCCTGCTCCAGCATGGGCTCTCCACAGTGTCACAGCCTCCTTCAGACACATCCACCTGCTCTGGTGTGGGGTCCTCCACAGGCTGCAGGTGGATATCTGCTCCACCATGGACCTCCCTGAGCTGCAGGGGGACAGCCTGCCTCACCATGGTCTTCCCCACGGGCTGCAGGGGAATCTCTGCTCCGGCGCCTGGAGCACCTCCTCCCCCTCCTTATTCACTGACCTGGGTGTCTGCAGGGTTGTTTCTCTCACACAGTCTCACTCCTCTCTCCCAGCTGCTGTTGCGCAGCAGTTTATACCCTTTCTTCAACACATTATCAGAGAGGCACTACCATCATTGCCAATCGGCTCAGCTTTGGTCACCAGCGGGTCCACCTTGGAGCTGGCTGGCATTGGCTCTGTCAGGTATGGGGCCAGCTTCTGGCATCTTGTCACAGAAGCCACCTCTGTAGCCCCCCCCGCTAGCAAAACTTTGCCACACAAACCCAATATAGGACATTGAGTCTCCTACTCCAAGCCCCTCTTCTTCAAACTGCATTTGCTATGTTATTATTACTATATATGAGAAAGATGTTTATCTGCTTTAGGGTAGCAAACCTGCCACATCAACATGTCAGGCTTCTATGCCTGTTCCCAGACAGGCTCTCCTTTAGCCACGTGATGGGGGACATGCATCTACAACAATGGAAGATTCTCCCCCAAATCACCCAAAAAGCAAGTGTACAAGAATTAGCTATCAAAGTTTTTCCTGCCACGATAGCATTCCTCTGCTGCATCTCCCTCTGAAGCCCTTTGGGAGGAGTTAAAAGCAATTACATGCTACACAGTTAGAAAGACTTGCCAAAAATTCATCGTCCTGGGTTCAGCTGGGATAGAGTTAATTTTTACAGGAACCTGGGAGGTGGGGGGCATAGCCGGGGCAGCTGACCTGAACTAGCCAAGGAGCTAATCCATACCATGTGACATCATGCTCAGTATATAAATGGGGAGTGGGCCGGGGGGAGCTCTCTACTTTCGGTGGGGGAAGTGGCAGAGCGTCGGGTTCCGGGTGGTGAGCAGTTGCACTGTGCATCACTCTTTTTGTATACTCTTTCATTAGTACTGTCGTTGTTGTTGTAATTTCTTTGTGTTGTTCCAGTAAACCGCCTTTATCTCAACCCTCGAGGTTCCAGGTTTTTTTTTCTTTTCTCTCCTCCGTCTCCCCCCTATCCCACCGGAGGGGGGCGGGAGGAGTGAGCGAGCGTGAAACCACGACATTCATCTTAAATGCCTGCAGTACTACTGATTCCATGCTTCATACACAACTTACTCCAGTACACAACCATCCTTGCTTTTTTTTCCCTTCCTCATCTCTAACCTAAACATATTCTAATGTGATTTAAGACCATCATCTCTCTGCCCTTTTCAAAGGCAGGTTTATGTACTCCCTTTCTTTGCATAGCAACTTTCTATATATTTGAAAATCTATGCCTCATTGCTAAGACAGGGAAGGGAAATGTTTTCCTCGAGGTCTAGCTAAAACCTTTAAACACTATCGTGGGCCATTCACTGCATGCACACTTCTGCATTACCTACAGTTAAGAGACTAGGCCATCTAAAAATCAGGTCTAGGGTTATACTCAGCTCACTGTGCAGTTTCATGTTACAAAAAAGCCAGCTGATCAGGTGGTCCTGTTAGACAAGTTGCTTAAAGATAAGAAATAACCACTAACAAGGCTAAATACGGCTTCAAAGGAAGTTGGGCAGGTGATACATGATTTGTTCATGACAGACATTAAGTTACCTATTTACCATCTTACAGTACTTAATTGCCTATTTTCCATATCTTTTGGCAACTTAAATAGGACCCGTTATTTCCTCCCGTTTTCCTCTGCTTTTTTTTTCAAAAAAGGGTCCACCATAAGAACACCAAATTAACTGAACATGAAAGGCAAGCTCTCTAATATGCATTTTACCAACAGCAAATAAAACACCTGAATCACATGTGACCTGTTCTTTTCTTAACACAGAACAAATCAAGTTGTTGCTGATTAACTCTTTTCTCAACCAGGAACGAGTTCACATTTCGTCTTCATTGATAACTTGGCAGACTTCAGTATGTAACTTTTTGGTATCATCTGGTACATTCTCCTCCCCACTAAGCTATGGACAAACTTGCTTGGTTTCCCTCTGGCTATAAATGCTTTTATTGTTTTCTGTAGCAGAGACCACAAAGTGTTATTCACCACTTCTCAGGTCTGTCCTTTATTCTTCTAACATCCTCATAGACTACTTTGAGCCTCTCACACTTTCTGGAAATGTTTCTATTTCTCTTCCCTTCACCTTCTTCCTGTAGATCTCAACCCATTTCATTTAGATCTCCTTTTTTCTGAGGTTCACTCTTTCTAGCCTAGTGTTCACTTTCCCCCTTATGCTCAGAAGTGATTGTAAAATTATACAGTTCTTAGCCAGCTGCCTGACCAGATGTTGGAAGATAAATAGTGATTTTCATCTGTAACAAACTAAGGACCTGTGCTGAGGCCAGGATTTGTCCTACTGCCTTTCACAACGAAGGGAGGGCAAGAGGAATGTTTTAGTCATGCAGGGAAGTAGGAAGCAAGTAGGAGTTCACCATCTACTCTCAGGGCCTAAAGCACATCGGAGAGCTTCGGCTGCTTTTTCCTGACACCCTCACCCTACAGCAGCCTCAAGCAGCAGACATATAAATCGAGGGCATTGGGGAACAAAACCCAGACTGACATGACACTGTGAATGGGAGCACCTAAATACCTTTATAGAGTTTTCAAAGGTGAGTTGGGCAGACTAAGACTGTGGCAGAGGCAGCCTATGTGTGCACCAAGGGCTCCTTCTAGAGC